AATGCGCAGCAACCATGTCAGTCTCGTTAACAAGTCTTTTTATCTGTGTCTTTTTTTAAAGAAACTTATACGATATTTGTTTGTTTGTTTGTTTTTAATTATGCACAAAGCTACACAAGGGCTATCTGTGCTCTGCCCACCACGGGTATCGAAACCCGGTTTCTAGCGTTGTAAGTCCGCAGACATACCGCTGTGCCACTGGGGGGCCTTATATGATATAAACCACAATAAACAATACTAATTGAAAACCTGTTAGGGTTAGTTCAACCCTATTGACAAAAATAAAAAAACAAAACTTGTTTGTGATTATAAAGATAGACATGGTCTGGGAAAATAATAATAAAAAAGGGTAGGTCTTTATCTCAAATAATATTCTGATTTGCAAATAAGACGACTATTAATAACACGGCTGGAAATTAAACAGTTTATGTAGTTTAGATTCCTTTAGTATGTTAAATTAAAGGTTATATTCCAAAATTTTAACATTCGCTGAAAACAACGGACATTATACACTAATACACATGTTACTGAATACACGAGTATTGTGAATGTATATATTTTATTGAATATTTCGTTTCCATAACGTGGAAAATAACACAGTATTTAAGCGAGGAGAATGACATAATAAGGACGTACGTAGGCTATCCAGTGATACTTTTCCAAAGATGAGCTGTTTTATTGTTTCATAATTTTCAAACTGGCTTGTAAACATATTTTCCCGCCTCTTTTCCTCTCCTGATGCACGAAATGCGATACTTCCGTTGCAACATCCCCTCCTTTGTCAGTGTAAGAAAGTGGAGAAAGGCGTTGGCGCGAGTAATTTTGTTTTTGTGTGAAATATATTAAGGTACTGTTTGTCAGTCATGCCTACTTACGGTGTATCTGCCGTCCATAACAGTAGTAAAAATAACTTTATATGTAGGTAAGCTATCTTCACACTAAATACGTACATACAAATAGAGGGATGTTAAGGGTGTTGTGGTTGTCATTTCCTTTTTAGAATCGTCAACTTTTTGGAAGTCTATGGTCCTCTGTTTGGTAATTTATTTCTCTAAGGAACAAGAGCAATCAGAGTGATTGCATACCTCCGCCCCTCCTTTTCGAGATTACACCCGTTTATATTGGATAACGTCAAACTTCACCTTCGAAAACTCGGAAAATCCTTCTCGGATATAGAATGATCAACGATCCGGATCAGTTTTTGTAATGTGATAAGGAGTCTCAACCTTAATGTGCCCATCAAATTTGGTATAAATACGATCACATTTTACAGAGTTATTAACCCACAACCGCGAAAATACCCTATCCCCCCCCCCCTCCACTTATAAAAAAATTATATTATTTGGGGAGAACTGTCCTATACTTATTTCCAATCTCGTATAAAATTTGTGTATATGGTCCATTAGTTTTACAGAGATACGCGCGACGGAAACACAGACAAACACAAAC